CACTTTGTCCCCCCTCCCCATTCCCCTTTGGCAACCATCATCAGTTTGTTCTCTGTATTCTAATTCTGCTTTTTGTTTGCTTATTAATTTTTTTAGATTCCATTTATGAGTGAAGTCTTATGTTATTTGTCTTTTTTAGCCTTACTATATCACTTAGCATAATACTAGATCTATCCATGATGTTTCAAATGGCATGATCTCATCCTTTTCTATGGTTGTATAATAGTCCATTGTGTATATACACCACATTTTCCTTATCCATTCATCTACTGATGGACATTTAGGTTGCATCTGGGCCTTGGCTAATGTAAATAATGCTGCAATAAACATAGGCAAAAATATACAATGGGAAAAAATCTTTTCAATAAATGGTGCTGGGAAAACTGGACAGCTACATGAAAAGAATAAAACTGGACTACTTTCTAACAGCATACACAAAAAAGAATTCAAAACAGTTTAAAGACCTAAACATGAGAACTGAAACCATAAACATCCTAAAAGGAAACACAGGCAATAATCTGTCTTACATCAGCCATACCAGCATTTTTTCTAGGTATATCTCCTAAGGCAAGGGAAACGAAAGCAAAAATAAACTATTGGGACTATATCAAAATAAAAAGCTTTTGCACAGCAAAGGGAGCTATCAACAAAACAAGGAGGCAACCTACTGAATAGGAGAAGATATTTGCAGATGATATATCTGATAAAAGGTTAATATCCAAAATAAATAAATAACTTACACAACCCAATACCAAAAAATCCCAAATAAACCAATTTAAAAATGGGCAGAGGACCCAAATAGACATTTTTCCAAGGAAGACATATGGCCAACAGACATATGAAAAGATGCTCAACATCCTTGATGAAGCCTTCTTTCAAAAATCCTCTTCCTGATGTCATTCCTGATCTACTCCAGCTCCCCTACCATAGTCAGAACTGAGCTATGTCTTCCCTGAGCCAAAGTCCCTACCCAAACAAAGGTTTCTAACTTAGTACTTGTGATCCTTTGTTCCACCTTCTTTGTAAACTGGCTCCTCCTACCAAACTGTGAGCATCTCCTTTTTGCCTTTAATCTCTGTACTTCATATTAAAATATTTGTCAAATTAATGACTGAAGTCAATTTTGTCTTTACTTAAGCCTACTTCCCAATGTTTTTGTCCAAACTTCCTTGTGGCTTTAATGAAATCTCCTTAAGACTCTTCAATTTCTCCATAGTAGAAAAATACCATAATTAAATTTCATACACTATGGAATATGCACAATGTACGATTTAGAGGAAAAAATGTTTATCGAGAGTCTGAATTCAGTCCTCAGAGAGAAGGCGAAGCATGACTTTTTGAACTGTCTACTGCATCCAGACCCAGGGTCCTGCATTGAAATCTTAGCTCCAACTTAAACAATCATCCTGGGCATGCCAGTCACCCAGGCTTTTTACCTCCCAGTTCTATCATTTACAAACTGAACAAAAGACATGGTTTGTGATCGACAGTAAGTCTTGACAGCAAGTAGGATGCTACTTAATGAATTAAACAGCATCTTTGAAATTAATTTAAAAAATGAAATCAGACAACCTCTTGATAGAGGTGTCAAGGAAAGAGATGATTACACTTTACAAAATATAAGACAAAAAGGTAAGTCTTTTTGAGGAACTTCGCTCAAACCATGATGCCATTCACATAGTAGGCCTTCAGTGAATACTTACTGGGTAAAAGAATCAAAACAATTTGTAAGTGTTTTCATTTAACTTGGGAAGAATCAAAAAGCACCAATCTGCTCCCACATAGAATCATCAGTGACTCATGCATTGCATGTCCCTCCAGGAAGCCATAGTTTCCCACTTTGCGATGCTGGAGCCAGTGCCAAATGTCTCCCATAGGTAAACAACTCTGTTATTAGCTCTCACACAGCCTCACATATTCAGAGAAATCTTCCCACCACACATATTCATGACTGTTAAACACACAGTTCATAGTTGTATATAAGCTCTGTTCTATCACTTTGATACCCAACTTTTCATTAAGCCAGAAGGGTTAAAATTCATTTCTTAAAAAAATATTTTCATTTATTTATTTATTTTGAGAGAGACAGAGACATCCTGAGCAGGGTAGGAGTAGAGAGAAATGGAGAGGGAGAAAGAATCCCAAGCAGTCTCCGTTCACACTGTTAGCACAGAGCTCAATGTGGGGCTCAAGCTCACAAAACCGTGAGATCATTAACTGAGCTGGAATCGAGCATCGGATACTTAACTGACTGAACTATCCAGGTGCCCTGAGGTTAAAATGATTTCTACACTTGATTTTAGCCAAAAGGCCGAGAAGCAGTTAAAATTCATTTGTAAGCAATACTGTGGTTATGTAAACTTCCTAGAAATTTAAGATCACCATTCTGTCTAGCAGCTGAGTCTTTCCCGGAGTCGCTTATACATTTTTTCAACCACATATTCTTAGTGTGCATACAGACATGGGGAAGAAATAAAAATATATGAATTGTGCCACCAGCATAATTAAAATTTTTTTTTTAATTTTATTTATTTTGAGAGAGAGAGAGCATGCAGAGGAGGGACAGAGAGAAAGGGAGGGAGAGAATCCCAAGCAGGCTCTGTACTGTCAGCACAGAGTCTGATGTGAGGCTCAAACTCACAAACTGTAAGATCATAACCTGAGACAAAAGCAAGAGTTGGACATTTAACAGACTGGGCCACCCAGGTGCCCTTAATTTTCCTTTTAGTAGATTGGATGTCTGGATATGGAATGAAGACCCTAGAAAGCCCACACTATTCCCACAATTACTTATTGGAAACAAAGCTCATTCTATGCAACAAAACTAACTGTTAATGAAGTTTATGTATCATTGGAGCAGATAATTTTACAAGGCTGTGTTCTTAAGGCTCCAGAATTAAGGATTTGACTGTGGGAGCAGGGAGTCTTGGGGGCAGGACACCCCAGATAACCTCACCCACATGCATTCCTCAAACAATGCTTTTCTGTATGTAAACAGAAAATAGAAAGGAGTATATGGTTTTTGTCCTTAGTATTAAATAGCTGCCTTTTCTTCAGTACGCTCTTAAATTTCTGCACAATGCACAGCCTTCAGCACCCCAAGGAGTATAAACAAAGGATATCAGGCAAGTTCACCTACTCCCACTTCACAGAACAATGCTTGTTGTTAACTAAGCAATTCCCAGGGCAAATTTATGATTTGTGAAGCCCAGAGTAAGTACTCAGGTTGGGTCCTTGGAATCTGAGGTCAGAAGCACGCGGTGCCGGCTCAGTCCCCAAGGCTTTCAGAAAACATGAAAATGTGACCTAAAGTTTGTGCTTTCATCTACACCAAAGACTATTTAAGCACAGAGGGAAGTTAAAGCACATTAAAGCCTCAAAACAGCTTATTGTTCATGCTCCAAGATCTAACTTTTTCTTTCTTATTTGCTGCAATGCTTTTCTTCTTATGATTCTGTTGAATCGTATAAGATAAATCAGATATATAAATAATGTGTCTATATTAAAAAATGTCTTGATAGAGGGGCATCTGGGTGGCTCAGTTGGTTAAGAGTCTGACTTCGGCTCAGGTCATGATCTCCTGGTTAATGGGTTTGAGCTCAGTGTTGGGCTCTGTGTTGACAGCTCAGAGCCTGAGCCTGCTTCAGATTCTGTGTCCCCCCCACCCCTCCCCTGCTGGCCTGCACGCTCACGTGCACGCATGCACACTCTCTCTCTCCCTCAAAAATAAACATTAACTTTTGTTTTAAATATCTTGATAGAGCAACAAATAGTATAGATTTGAAAATTTGAAATTTGAAAAGTCCTTTCCATTTCCTAAACAGAATTATGACCCACATCTTTTTCCTGTATTCTTAGACCCTACATTGTATCACAACAAAGAATTTATAATCAGTACTTAATTTATCCCAAAATATCTGTAACTACACACATTTAAAGTATAAATGCAAACAAGTGGACGAAAAGATTTCTTTCCTCCCAACTTTTCAGGGAATATTTTGGCTACAGTTAAACCCCATATGATGCTTATTAACATGTATATAATGGAACTTGGGGAAACAGTTTTCCTCCCTTGTTGTGTGGCTCAAGTATAAAAGTGAAATAGGTTACCGTTCCCAGTTTTATGAGCATACATATTATTAAGTCATTAAACGAATGAAATAATTAAGTTTAATTAGTATTCTTTTACTCTTTAATAATCACCTATAAAATAATAGAATTGAGCCAGAAAAGAGAAAAAAGGAAAAAATATTCATGCAGTACTTGCATAACTTTAAAGTCATTTGGAAATATCTGAAAGTATGAGTTATTTATTCAATACTATAATGGAACATAGTATAAATTGAATATAGTAAAAATGGGTAGTTAGTACAATGTAAATATAGCCATGTATGTCAGGGTGCAGGAAATCATTGATGGGTCACCGAATTTGTTGCGTCCATTCATATACCATGGACAATTCTAGTGGTAGTCTATTATTCTAATTGACTCTATGTGAATCCAACTGGCTAACCCAGGATCTCTGAAGAATTATTAAATATCTATGTTTTCAGGGAAGTTATGTAGTACCAAATTTCTAGTGAGATTTTAATATTTAAAAGTCTCTTGGATAGAATTTAAAATAAATTGTAAAGTTTAAAAAGGGGGAAAAACACTGAAAAAAATTATGAAGAAGAAAGACCAACACTATAGCCACACCGTAGTCACACAAACATTACTAACATCACTACTTTGAAACAGAGATTTGAAGTTTTCAAAAAGGCTGTTCTGAAAAAAATAACAAGAACGTTAGGAAGTTCTGGGTTAGATGAGAGAGTCTTGATAAAATCCACAGTCTTCCTTTCTGGCACAAATGGAATAGAACGTAAGAGCCTCCTCTACTGAGCTTCTCCTGGTCTGTTAGGTAAGGAGGAAATGCCTTGCCTAACACTAACCAGTGGAGAATCATAGAAAAAGTAGAGATTGACGAGAATAAAACAACAAAAAGAAGAGCTCCCTACCCATTGCCTCCCACTGAATGAACTTTTGACATATCCGCAAACTCTTCTTTCCTCTTGCTGCTGCTGGTGTATTGCTCACTGTACAACTTGAGGGACATCTGTTCAACAGCATCTCTTTGTGCTTCCAGGTAGCAGAGTTGAACCTCAGCCTGGAGAGAGAAACAAAGGGTAATTGCTGTTTTAATCCAGAAGGAATGCATTTCAAGTAAGGTGTAACAACTCAAAGAATGGGAATTGTCCACATCATTATACTGTTCCTTTTCAGGTTGGATTTAATGGGATCAGCTGGGCATATTACAGAATTATATTTTAGATCTGAATCTTATAAGTTCCTCCTTAAAATATGTCCTGAATAAATGAACTCTCAGAAGACTCAGTAAATATCACAAAATATCCCTGAGATCATAATACTGTATGATGAGATTTTACATAAAAATTCTGTGAAATTCCTTAATAATATTCTTCTGTATACTGCCACATATGTAACATTTATTTTTTAAAGATATCCCTCCAACCCATACATTTGCATGGACATATATTCTGAACGCTTCTCATTATCTTCCCTGAGAAGAATAAAAGAGACTAGTACAAATTCTAATACACTTCAATAATGACAACAGACTTGCTTTGTTACATTTTTTGGGCTCCCTGTATTATTATCTTAATTTTAAAACAGACGGAATCATGATTTGCTTAAATATTGGTTTGAATTGTTACATCTTTCAGTTACTTGGGGTTTACTGTAGTAAAGAGAGGTAGTAAGTTCACCATGCTGTTTTCTATCAAACCAAGGCCAAAAGAATGCTGAATAATATTTGGAATGGAAATGTACTGAATAGATGCTTTATTTATTGCAGCTGTTATGATCCCTGTGGCTTTAGGGTTCCCCAGAACACCAGATGAGACCGGGAATACATGCCCATGGTAAAAGGGAGGGAGAAACGCTGACTTCATGTGCACTGTGCACCAAAGGAGCTCTTAGTTTCTTTTGGCATACTTCACAAAATCCAGCCATGTCCGTTAACATTTCTGATAAGCCTTAAAACTGCTACTTCTTTCTAATTTAATTACACATTGTGTTAAAAACAGTTCTGGGTCAGCTCTAGGGTGGTTGCCAGAATTCTGTAACATTTAAGAAAAGCCAAGTCAGACACAAGGTTCTACTTTTTGTGAACCGACCAAGGCCTTTTGCCTGATCTCTGGCTTATAGACTTGACCATGGAAGAAAAACAAAACAAAGCAAAACAACAACACCAGTGTTACAAAGTAGCAGCTGCTTAAAACAGCAAATCAGGACTCTGTAAATGAAATGGGTAGTTTAAAAAATGTAAGATCTCAAACCATTCTGGACGTCCTATGTTGTTGCTTTCTACAGGTAGCTAATTATGAATGCTCTAGACTATGGAGGAGGAACTTTTAAAAAATGCTAAAATTAGCATATTTTTATCATTGAAATTTCAGAAATTAATTAAAAGATATAATCTATATATTGGTTCATGTGAGTTTTTCTTGCCCAAACTAATTGGCAACTAATAGTCAAAGAACTTAACAACAATAATCTTCCCAAATGCCAACCCCCTTTTACCCTTCCTCTCCTCCAAGCTGTAGGGATAATGAGGAGGTCATCCCACACCAGATATTCTATTGGAAACCCCATTTGAATAACGTTTCTCCACCATTAGGTGTCAAGGGACATGTCTGATCCCTAGAGATTCTCATAAGTTTTTAAACATCCTAAGATAACAAGCCAGACCATCCTCATTCTGGATAACGATCTCACAAATGTGTGCCACTGGTCACAAAAAGAATCATCAAGAGTGAGGTCAACTTAATGTAGACATCACTACTATAGAAAAATAATTGGAGCTCTTCCCTTTGAGACCCTAGGCCATTTCTGTGTACAAAGGAACACACCTCTCATATGACAGGGGTACACGGAAAGGAGTTCAGAGAACAATGCTGAGAGCAACTTGAAGATAATTAGTCACCTTATGAAAATGATTGAAATGTTGTAATGTAAGACTTTTATTGCACAATATCTCACAGGCATTTTACATAGAAAACTTCCCTGCACTAACAAAGAGATGAATTAGATGGCCCAAGTCTTTCCTATTCATCTCTATTTCTCTCTCTGCTTTCAGTGATTCATTCCTAAACGTGATGATAAAAATAGTACCAAAATAGCTCCTCTGCTAAGGTTGAATGGCTTTGCCAGTCTAAATCTCTCTGCAGACTGGTTAAATTTTTCTCATACTATATCTTAGTCCAAAGATAAATTTTTAGGAGGAAGATATGAAGAAAATATACTACTTTAAAAAATAGTAACACTGAATCTCTGATTAAGGAAATTTTATTTGTTAGCATTTATGATAATTGTGGATACTTGTTGACTATATTTTACAAATGGTAGCTCAGCTTGATTAAATAACATTACTGCTACGTTATCAACAGAATTTGGCAACTTACTCATTAAGGAAAATAAAGGAACAAGAGGGAACAGATTCAGTGACAGATCAACCTGTTACTTCCTGGTTGCCAAGAGGCCCATAGTGTCATCAGTGGGAGTAGGTGTAGAAAAACAGCAATATGAATAGATGGAACAGATAATCTGGATTTGAGTCTTTTGGCTTGACGTACTTGCGGAATACCCAAAATGAGATCATCAGTAAATAAGTGGAAAAAATAACTCTGATATATAAACCTAAAAGCAACAGCTGACATTAGGAGAGGAAATGAGAATGCCATGGGAGAGCAAATATGATGACAGAAAAAAAGAACAGTTCTCACTTATTCTACTCAAAGTCTACATTACCCCTTAGCTGACCTAATGTGATGGATTCTCAATCAGTCTCCTTCCTTCCTTCTCCACCATCACCAAATCTGTTTTACAAACAGTTCATTGATTGATTTCTGAATCATAGCTGAGATCACTGGTTGTTGTTTCAGGGCTTAATTTTGGACTGCTTTTCTTTATTTATACTATCCTCCATGGCTTTCAGTGCAATCTATATAGTAATGGCTCCTAATCTTTTCTGAGTTCCACATTATATATCCAACCAATCTCCTGACATTGCTCCTTGGATTTACTTCAGGCACAAGTATTTAAAACAGAATTCTCCATTCTCATCCTCACCACATCCCCCAAAATATTCTGTATTTACATCTTTCTTTTGAAATAAATGGCACCATGTGTTGCTCAGGTCAGAAAATTGAAAGTTGTCCTTTACTCATCCCTTTACTCATTTCCCACAGCCATTTACTCTCTAAATTCCATTAATTCTTCTTCCAAAATGCCTCTCCAGTCTGTCTCCCCAATCTGCATTCCTGCCAGCCTAGTCCATGGTTTCATCACTTCTCCTCTGCAGTACAATTATCTTCTAACATTCATCTCTATTCACCATTCCTGCCCCTCCAATATTCCTTTATAGTTGCCATGTGGTTTTCATAAGAAAAAAATCCAATACAAAACAAAACAGAACAAAAGAAACAAACAAATGAACAAACAAAATCCCAGACTTCTATGCTCCAAGAGATTTGGTTCCTCACATGTCATTTTCTAATTGTCTCTCTTGATCCGCATGCCCCTGTCATCTCTATTTTCAGTTCTTTAAGTAACTATTTCCTATCTCAGGATCTTTGCACATATTATTGTCTTTCTCCAGAACATTGTCTTACTAATTTCTTCCCATCCTTTACCTCTCAGATGACATTTTATATTTCAGAGAGGTTTTCCCTGATCACCCTATCAAAGGTAGATTCATCCTATTTTTCTTTCCTTTGCATCAGTGTTAATTTCTTTCATAGAACATATCACAATTTAAAAATTTTTATATTTACTTGTTTTTATTTTTTTCTGTCTCTGTCTCCAGACTCCAAGCTCCATAATGGGACTGTGTCTGTCTCCTTTGCTATTTTGTACTCCCCAACACCTTGGCAGAAGATGATAGGGGCTCAGTAAACAACTGTTGAATAAATGAACTGTACATTCACCCATCTATCCATTTATTACTCATATGTTCATTGAGCCTTTATCATGTGTCAGGAACTGCTCCAGGGACTGTGTGTACAAAGAGGAATAAGCCATGCCAACAGATAACTACAAGTGTGCTAAGTGAAATGAATGTGGAGAGGATGGGAATTAAAAAACAAACAACTAATTGTATGAAAGTGAGGAATAGGCAGTAAAAGCTTGAGAGAGGTGGCATTTAAGCCAGATCTGGGGGGATGGATATGATTTTGTCAGGTGAAGAAGCAGTGACTTGATTCTTTATAGGCAGTGACTTGTTTGTTCAATAGCCTAGAGTCATGCAAGGATGTGGCATGTTCAGAGGATGGGGGGCTGAAGCGTTAGGGCATTTGGATGAAGAGTCTTACAGAGAAGAGGATAGGCCATAGAGGATGTCAGGTTAGAGAATCTGGGTGCTATCCAAAAACATGACAACAGAAGATGTCATTGTTTCTGTAATGGCCTTAATCTTCCTCTATCTCCCTTTTTGTGTTATGGCAAAAAAGTCAGCTGATGGATTAATCCAAATATGCTCATAAAGCACCTACGCCCCGATATGCTTTGAGAACACTGCACTGAGAAAGGAATTAGGTTTCCATCAGGCCAGAAGGCCAGTGTCCAAAATAAATGCCTAAGAGATTCTAGTAACTTGTACCTCTAAGTAAACCTTTAACATAATATGGATTGAGCTCCTCCCACCCCTAATTCATATGTTGGAGTTCTAACACCCAATATGACCATATTTGGAGATAGAATCTTTAAGGAGGGAATTAAGATTAAATGAGGTCACAATGGTGGGGCCCTAATCCAGTAGGAATGGTATCTTTATAAGAAGATGAAGAGCAGTAACACAGAGAAAAGGCCATGTGAGGACACAGAAGATGAATGTCTCCAAGCTAAGGAGTGATGCCTTATTAGAAACCAAACCTGCCAACATCTTAATCTGGAATTTTTAGCTTCCACAACTGTGAGAAATACACTTCTGTTGTTGAAGCCACCCAATCTGTGTTTTTTTGTTATTGCCACCCTAGCAGACTAGTACACATAATAAAGTTAGAAACACTGCTTCCCATCTGAGGTTGAATATAATTCCTTTGCTGCTTATCATTAACAGCATGTTTCTGCCTTTGTTTTATAAGCACC